GAGAAAGAAGACGATTCGTTGTACTGTTCTCTATATTAATCCTTGTTTAAATTCAGTTTCCTCACATGATGTATGTATGGAACGTTCGTTCGCAAATATTTGCATGCACAGCCCAAGACAGTGGTGGGTAGGATTTCCCGGCAGTGCTTGTCGCAATAGCTTCTGGAAAGGAATTGTATACTACTGTTAGTGTTAACGGCCACTAATTTGGCCCATTAGTGACTATACAAAATATATGCTCTTCCTGGCTATTTGGGAATGTGACAGTTTGCAACAGAAATGAAGAAACGCGAATTTTGTTGAAAATCATGTGATATCACAAACATTTATTAATCACTTGTATGAAATTGAGAATAATTCATGGATTGATTTTATTGGAGGGTTGAACCAACCAGTACGCCAGTGGCATAGACCTACATCAGCTTTTCAATAAAACAAAAATAAGTTGTGACATAATAATCTTTCTCCAAAAATGAAAAAGGTTTTAGGAAATATCAGGAAATAAAATAAAAATAAAGATACAATGACGTGAATTTTAAAAAGGGTGAACGGAAACAACATAACAACTAGTGAACTATCTTATAAGTCATACTAATGTCCGAAAATCTTTCTCCTTGTCTCTGTTCTCATCACGAATTCGTCACAGAGTTCATCTATGTTTACATTGTCCAGGATGGTCTGATGTTGCAGATTGCTACTTTTGCGCTTCGCGCTTAACATTTAGCTCGTTGCTTTTTGGCGCACTGCATTTCTATGCTGCTGTCAATTTAACAAAGTGAATTAATTCATCGATTCCTAATGAAGCCGTATGATCGAGAATTCAATTTATTCTTGTCCCATATACAGTTGTCTCATTTACTTCGTATATGTATGTATTATGAAAATGAGATAGCAAAATGTGTATATTGATGGTCATCTTGCGAGTAATAACCATTAACTACTCTCATCAGGCTCTCATCATTAATTTTTCTCTTATTTTTTTTTATTTTTTAGGGTGAATTATTGGGGTGGATGATTGTACAGGCCACCCCCCCCCCCCACCTGAAATATTGGGGGGATATATCCCCCCCCATCCCCCCGGGATCGACACCCATGATCACTTCTACTACTACCACTACCACTACTACTACTAATACTACTACTAATACTACTACTACTACTACTACTACTACTACTACTACTACCACTACTACAACTACTAAAACTACCGTTACTACTACTACTACTACTACTACTACTACTACTACTACTACTACTACTACTACTACTACTACTACCACCACCACTGTCCCACTACTACCAACTACTACTTTACTGCTACTACTACTACTACTACTACTACTGCTGCTGCTGCTACTACTACTACTACTACTACTACTACTACTACTACTACTACTAATCAAACCACCACTTTTACTACTACTATTTCTACTACCACCACCACTACTACTAGACTTCTACTATATTACTACTACTATATTACTATACTACCACTACAACCACCACTACTAATACTACTACTACTTCTAGAGTTAGACATAATTTCTTCCAACTGACTGCATTCATATTCTAGCTTACCGCATATTTCTTTTGATGAACTTTCGGCTGATCGGGTAGTGCTTGTTCGGCCAGAGACTGGCAACAGCAGAAATATATGTAGGATCGACCAAACTTCTCTTTCGCCCCAAAGTTTAGCCATGGTGTTAACACACGCTACACTTTACTCGTAACTCAGACTAATAAAAACAGTTCAGACATGCTAGATGTTTCAAAAAACATTCCAAAAATCATAGGTGATATGGGATGGCTGTGCAAGAAGTCTAGTCTTACCCTCCCAAATACTGCAACACAATCATTATGAGAAAAACAAATTCAGAACAGGCATAAATTCCTAGTTGACGGACGGATCACTGGCTTTGCAAAATAGAAAGAGGAAGCAGGCACTGAAAATATCGTTTCTTTCATGATGCGCATTCGGATCGGTACACGATTCTTGACGTCATTATATATTGTTCCCTCAGAGCAACACTTTTTGTTCTGAAAAAAGGAAGAAAAATGGTGAACAAATAATATGCGTCGATTCAAAAGAGCTACTGTACTCTCCAAACACCGCAATCGATCAATTATGAGAAAATATATTTTATACATGTATTTCCCTCTAGGGTAACAAACGATCTTATAGCATTCGTGTGTTATGGGGTAAGCACGTTACTTCAAATTGTTATACTCTGAATGCATACATGAACAGTAATCGTTCGAGAGAATGCTTACATGAACAGTAGTCGTTCGAGAGAATGCTTACATGAACAGTAGTCGTTCGAGAGAATGCTTACATGAACGGTAGTCGTTCGAGAAAATGAATTTAAGCTTCTATATTTAAAATGAGGAAGAATAAAGGTTAATCAATGCTTTAAATCCAACGAATTTTCGACGATTTCTTTTTTCTTTGGAATCATCCACTTGATAGACATGATGTACGTCGAAAATTCGTGACCCAATTAAAACTTTCAATCAAAGATGAAACTTTTCTTCTCATTTTTGCGTCATCTTATGCAAACAGGTGGGTTTTTATTGGATATATATTTTTGTTTTCGTTTCGAACCGCGCCTGTACACAAATTTACTAAATATGTAATTTTAAAGATAACCGTCATTGTCATGTGAAACTTGATGGTACGACCCGGAACGTATTCAATATTTGCACATGATGAATGGTTAGGTTGTGCGTCATTAGACTAGTACCGTAGTGGAGAATTATTATGATCAGCGCAAACGAGGTTTGCAATAATCGTGTTATGCCCATATAGAACGAGTTCAAACTAGGGATGATATGTTGACGAGAATCAGACAATAGAGACATTGTAATGTGGTCATGGTGGTTGGCTAAGGGAATTCGTGTAGAGAAGAGTCATGAATACTTGAGGTTGCATCTGATGTTTTAATGTGGTTAGCGGAAACAGAATTATTAATTATAGGAGCATTACAAACTATAGTAATCATAATGCTAAATATATCTCATTGCGGATGTAGTATCGAAAATAATATCGCTAGTGAAATTCGTTTGTCTCGCAATGTATGGTCAACAAGGGATCTAAAAGATCACGACGTTTCGTGCGCCGCTGTAACACCTCGTCAGGTGGTAAAATATACTGTAAGCAAGCGTGTTTTTACTCTATCATAATAATGGGATTGAGGTAAAAATGAGTGTATGTACGCTAGATTAAGGAGGCCCTTGATAAATGGTACCACTGACGTCATTCAGCCCTAAAATGTCCCTCATTTTTTCCCGATTTGGACTGTTTACCCCTCTACATGCTACACTGCAGAAAACGTTAAACAAACACAAGTATTACCACTAAAAGGAAAGCAGTTTGGGAGAATATCATTTTTAATGGCCAACATGCATGATAAGCATAGTACATTTCTTCTATTTTCTGAAAATATTTTACAATCAGAAGGACTGGTGAATATAATAACAAAAACAATGATTGTTTCTTATACTTTGTACACCAGGTCAGGCATGACGCTCATAAATGGACTTATTCCGTAATCTAAGTAATGAATGATCTAGTTTGTTGTATTGTCGGAGAGCGAGAGTAACATGGGAAGAGCCGCTCAGGTTGTTCTCATCTGTAATGTTGGGGGAGGCACAATGTCAAGAAAATTCAAATAGCATTACACGAATATTAAAGCGGACATTATACATTCCAGAATTACTTTGTGATAATAAACTTCCTCCCTCAATTCAATCAGCCAAATCAATTCAAATATTTAAGCGCGGTTGCCAATTGGCAAAGCATTTATTAGAGTAGAATCTCCGTTCTTATTTCCCTCTACCGGTATAATTAATTTTCTTATGTTATAATTGTTTGTACTCTATATTATGTCAAATATGTCAATGTTTAGTTTTGATGAATGTTATATATGTATATATTCCTTATATTTTTGTATACCACAAACGTGTTATGTCGTTTTAGAGGGCGTACTTGGAAAGCAGTTTTGTTTAACCGAATATACCTACCCTCTATTTTAAATAAAACTTGAATAAATAAATAAATAAATAATTGCTGACCTCTTTTGACGCTCGCTATATGAGACTGGGTTATTAGAAAATGTATTCACTTCACTTCACCATGGCAGCTTTTTGCCTTGATCGTCGTTGAATTTGCAAAATGTTCCCATACAAGTTACATACTGAAATATTCGTAATGTTGAAAGTTGAATGTGGTAATTTGTCGGACGGTGCTTTTTGTAGTTAGCCGTAAATAGATGTGAATAAATATGAATGGAATAAAACTTGATAACGCGTAAATAAACTTCTTTACATTTATTTACATTTAATATATATGCGTTAGTAAAATTAATACAGAATACTCATGATAATTTGATACACCTTATTATTCCATTTATCAAAATATGCACAAGATTAATGTGAAACAAACAAAATAATACAGATCGCTGTGCGGCTGGCAAAGTGGCATTAGCACGAGCGAATGTGTAATAGCAGATTTCTGGTCACTCGCTTGTCACGTTTTGATTGCCCTATAAATTTTTTACATTTTTTTTAATAAAGTGACAGAAATGTCTCTCTTTATTGACTATTAAAGAACGGAAATGAATGGTAAATAGCGACACTATCTGCACTACGCAATAAGGTGCGTCCGCGTTTCAGCAGAGAGGCGTAAAGCGCTTCCATGCTGTCTTCTGCCAGCCGCGGACTTTGAGATGTTGGTGATATGTGTCACACCTGGGACCCGTTTCACAAAACTTGTCATCAATGACAAATGACATTTTTTGTTTATATAAGCTACTGAAATCCTTGCTTCGGATTGGTTATCAGCAGATTTATCACTGATTTTTGTCATTTGTCATTGAAAAAAGACTTTGTGAAACGGGTCCCTGGGCCCCGTTGTATAAATAGTTGCGATTGATCCGAACCAATCTGAAGTCCTTCAATCAATCGCAAGGTTCCCAGAATAATACTAACAATCATTGAGACTTTTAATGTAGATTGAGTTTCTCATACTGATTGCTCTCGTTCGGGCTTATAGTCGGATCGGGCAGGGGATTGGTTTTTAGATCTCTTTCGAGATGCGAGTAGTCCAAGATTTTATCGCCAGAATTCTCCGGTTGAGCTTCAGGGTTTGCCAAGGTCTGGTAGGTGTTGCCTGAATTGGGGGTCAGATAGTCATTCTCGTCAACATGAACTGCATCTTTGGTCGCGTTCCTCTGGGCCCCCGCCAACGATGCGCGCTGGAGACAATCGTATGATTCCTCATCAGTTTTGGAGATTGGATCGTTATATTCTGATGTTATCTTTGATTTACCATCTGAAAATTCATCATTAATGCATTTCTTCGGAATGGATGACTCATGCAGAGAGCCATTGTCACCTGGAGACGACTGTCCAGTTTTCGTAAGTGGAGTGTAGCTTCCATCGTCAGTCGTGTGTAAATGTTGGTATGCATTGTCGCCCGCTTCGGCATGGTCCCCAGCTTTCTTCTGAAGCATTGGTAGCACATGATCCGTGTCCAACGATGTCTTCTTAGACCCGTTAATTAATGTTCCGTTCAGGATATGTCGACTGCCGCCTTCCTGAAGCCTTTCATCTGGGACCGCTGTACCTGGCTTCACCTCGTCAGAGTCTGGTAGGTTATATTCATGATAGTCGCCCTTCTCCTGTCCATCGAACGGAACACTGTAGTCTTCCGACCTTTGCTCAGTCCCATTAATCAACGATCGATTTCGATGAAGATTATTACCATCATCCTGAAGCCTTTCAGCTGGGACCGCTCTACCTGGCTTCTCCTGGTCAGAGTCTGGTAGATTGTATTCATGATAGTCACCCCTCATCTTGCCGCCGAACAGAACATTATATTCTTCTTCTCCCACCTCGCTGTAGATCACCAGGTTGTCAGGTTTAGGGGCTCTATCACAAGGTAACTCAGTATACTCGTGCTGATTAACATCGTCAAGTACATCCGAGGGATCAGCTTGTTTTGAAGAGCTCTTTACTGAATGTTTGCACGCTGTATACTCGTGCTGCTCATTATTGTCCTTGTCGAATGCAGAGTTTTTGACGTATGCTTCTGAAGTCTGGGGTTTAAGGTTCTGGTCAACGGATGCCAATCGTCTAAAAGAAACAATTATGAAAAGATTATTTACTTAACATTGTGTGTTTGTGTTTTGACGTTAACATTGTTCTTCGTCAAAGAAAATAATAATGATGGTAATAATGATACCGGTTTCTTATCTAGCGCTTTACCATTAAGTGACCAAAGAGCTTAGTTTTTCATTATTACCCCGGTCGCTGTTCTGCACGATATAGTGTACATGCTCTACTCCCTGGGGAATGTTCCAGATATACGCCTTTTTACGGCGCGCATTTGCCAATCCAAAAAGACTTTTGCATCCTACCGAGATTATATTTTACAAGTAATAAAGATATAAGCGTGAGAAACAAAAGTGATGTTGAAATACTGTGGTCTATAAATGGAAGCACTTTACCTTCTCCTGACGAAACATGTGACTCCTATTATGACAATTATTAGGATGAATATCAGGAGAAGAGCTACCGTGATGGTTAATGTACTGTTCACACCTGCAAGAGAGAGAGAGAGAGAGAGAGAGAGAGAGAATATAGCACTGATAAATGCCGGGCCTAATGTTACTACAATTTCCAGGAAGAGATGATTTTAAACGAATACGAAACTATCGATGTATTAATAAAGGTTACGAAGCCGTCAAATAAATCTGAAAAGACCTTCGAAATCAATAGCACCAACTGGAATGTGTCGAAGTAGTAATAGTAGTAGTATTAATAGCAGTAGTAGTAGTAATATTAGTAGTAGTAGTAGTAGTAGTAGTAGTAGTAGTAGTAGTAGTAGTAGTAGTAGTAGTAGTAATAGTTCATGTAGTAGCAAAAGTTAATTTTCATGCAAATTGCATACATTGTTTTACTCTTCTTCTGAGGGCCCTGTATTCATAATTATCATTACCCTGGCTTTATTATATCGCCACAACCATGAAAAGGTGGGGGTGTTCCAGAAATTTCCTCCTACCTGTTGATTTTCCATTTCCTTGTGTCGTGGTATTTGTTGTTGTAAGGGATGATGTAAGCAGAGATGTTGGACTGGTGGTCTGTGGTATACTTGGTATAGTAACCGCGGAGACATCGAGATCTATGGCTGTATATAATGGGTAACAAAGACTCATAACTTTACCAAATATAGTTTTTGTTAAGGATCATATTTTTACAATAATTGATAATTGGTCTTTGTTTACTTGGGATCCTGTGATTACTATTCCCCCAGCATTGCTGGATACCCATTTAGTAACCGTGGGTCTAGACGGACAAAATGATAGAAATGCCTTATCCGAGAACATGGATCTGACCCGGGACCTCAAGTATGAGATATAAGTACAGTGCTCCCGCCATATGCACGACTGCTAAAAAAAAAGCAACAACAACAAACAAAACAAACAAACGCATTTTGGTATCTTTTAACCTGACAATGTCAATAAAGTTTTTAAAAATCATTATTGCCGTAATGGATGATTGTTGTTAATGATAAGTAATTTATGTATGAGCAAAATGAGATTTATTCTAATTTCATATTTACCTGTACTATTCTGACTTGTAGTAGCAGAAGGTGCTGTGTGTGGCATTGTGGTTGACGTTACATACATGGGTCTGATCGTAGGGGGCTCTGTTCTGTTGTAGATAAGCAGCTGCACGTCATTAATTTCAAACATTCCAGTTCCTCTCGCTTGAAAGGTTACCTGTATATTTTTTATATCAGGACAAATGAAAGAACAACTAACAAACTACATGTTTACAAAACGATGTACGATTATTTGTAAAACTATTTGTATGCAATCAGCAGATTAAAACATAGGAGCTTGCTTTCTTTGTTTATGGCAATTTTAATTTGCCCCGTAACACTGATTACATATTAACGTCAGGTTGGGTCATGTATTTCCACGAGGATCGCAAATATTTTTTGAAAAAACATTCAGATCATTCCAATAGCCTTGTGCTTGACCGTATTACGTATTCCGTAACTGATTTATAAAGGCACTAACAAATCCTCTGGCATCATGTTCGAATGATAAGCAGTTTTTTCAAAAATAGGATAAAGGAAACGCAAACGAAATCTTTCTCGACTTACCGCCCACGAATCCGAGGAAGTTGAAATAAAACCACAGGATACGTCGACTTCGAGACCATTTTGGTACAAAAATGCCTCATTTCTTGGTAGACATGCCGTTATATAGTTGCCTGTAAATACTGATGTTGTTCTCGTCCTTCCAGTAGTTTGAAAGACCTGAGTGGTCTTGATTGTATAACCGAATTTGAGTAGAATGGCGCCCTCGTTGTTAATGTTGGTCGGCAGAGTACCGCTAAATGCAACACATCCTCCGTCGCTTGGGACGTGACCATTGTAACCTGTAATATGAATTTAAGGACACAATACATTTATTAAGAAAACTTCACTAACACACACATATATATATTTAGCTTTGTTCTTTTATTTTTGTTACCTTGTAATGTTGATAATGCTCGTACTTATCATGACGGTTTTCGTTATTTTATGTGTAACAACAAAAATGCTAGTGATATTGATTAGAATAATGATGATACTAATACAAACGATATAAATAGCAATGACACCACATATAACAATACTAACGATAATAATGATGGCAATACAAACCGTAATATGTCTTGTTTACCCGGAGTAGCCTCATCAGTATTAATACTGTTCTCCTGCAGGCCCTGTCATCATCGTATTACTCCCGTTTTAGGCGAGCTACCGCGATAAGGAGCTCAAACAATTCAGTAATTTCTTCCTACCAGGTACAAACTATACTTGCAATGGGTAGAGAGTTGAAAATGTAGATTAACATCTTGCCAAAAGACATTATAGTGCCCTACTGGTACTCGAACCGCGAACCACATGAATCACGGTCCACCGCCGTATCCACCTGACAAGCTACGACACCTTAGTTTACATTTGTGTATTATATTCTTTTCATACAAAAATATCATATTCATGTTTGGAATACTCACCTTGTTCTCGTTCGCAGATATAGGCATGCTTGTGACCACAGTCATGATCTCTCCACTCGTAGGCATCCTGTTGTCGTATCTGGAAGCATTCTTCTCGTGCTTCCCCCGCTCTGAAATTAGAGTATGTGATGGTAGATCCATCCATCCAGACCCTCTCCCCCTGTGCTGTCCTCTCTATGCCGATCCATTGCTCCTTCGGTAAAGGGACAATCCCGTTCACCATGGACTCCAGGAAGCCCTGCTCCTCGCTACTCTCGATGTAGACTAGATGATACCCCATTGCTTCACAGTTTATCCTTGCCGTGGCTAGATTCGCATTGGCGGTGCTGAATTGGTAGCAGGATTTGTTGAAACTGTGCATGCCATCTTCGCATTCTGTCGTGAAAGGAAATTGGGGAAAAGAGAAAAGATTGATATGAAGTATATCAATGAAGGAACTGTGACCTTTAGGTGTCATTAGGGTTCTAGGACCATGGCGTAAATCCTTACGTAATACCTATTGTTCAGGGGGATGAATGAATAGATCACCCCCCCCCCTGAACAATAGGTACCAATGACAGATTTACGCCCATGTCTAGGACACCTACCCCCTGGACATCCACCCCCGGATAAACACCCCCAATCAACTACCCCCTAGGACAACTACGCCTTAGGGCAACCTCCGTCTAGAACGACTACCCCTGGGACAACTACCCCCGGAAAACTACTCCCCCAGTAGTCGTCCTAGAGGTTGGTTGCCCTAGAGGGTAGTCCTAGGGGGTAGTTGAATGGAGGTGGGTATCCGGGGGTCGATGTCCAGGGGGTAGGTGTCCGGATACGGTCATAATGAGTCATTGTTATTCCCACGTTATAAATACGTACTTGTCTTTCTTTAAGACTGACTATCGCAAACTCGATTAAAAGAGACAAAGATTTTAAGAATAACTGTGTTAAAGATACAATATTAATTGACCGATTTCTTGATGATTGCCTCTCGTTCATGAAAACTGTGTTGAATATTGAAATATGAAACTAGGAATCTTACAATGAGTTACCGCAAAATCGATGACTTTTTTTTCTTTCTTCTCCTTCTTTAGAAATAAAATGATGTTAGGGCTTCTTGATTAACACACTTCGACCTTCATCAATCAATAACATGACAATACCTCATATATAATCCAAAGACTTTGAGCATGAACCTATTACTACTTCGTATGCTTTAAGACTTGATTCTCCATAATCGAGTCACTGAGCATGAAATGCGATAACTTATGACTTTTTTAAAATTAAAAGGGGGATGAAAAGTAGTTAATTAATTTCCGTTCCTTTTCAGATAACTTTCACCCATATTGTGCCCCCTCCTCGGTTAGAGAATACTGTATTCGCCACAGATGTTTCATTAATAGTAGACCTTACCAGCGCGAGTATACCATTGATTGTCCCCAGTAGTAGGAGGTGACACTGTGCACTGCTGGGGAGGAGTAGTCGCCACGATGGTATCTGACAAGAGATACAAACAAATCATTTACAGCCACAGGCATCATCAAATGCAAGTACTTTAATACCTGAATTAATTAATTGCCATAGGCTTAATACAGGGGCCACCCAGTTTCAGCAGGCAATGGGTTAATCACACCTCTTGAGTTTTGTTTTATAGTCCAACATTTAGTAGGTCGGGTGATCAAAATACATGGAAATGCATATCTACCTACGTTTTCGTGACGTACATTAAAGTTAGGCCTTTGTTTTGTGTGTTTGCTTTTCTAATCTTATTTTGTCCATTTATGTACATGCAGGTAATGTGGGTGGGTGTTCGAAAGAAAAGTTGACTTATTCATTTAGTATTTTAAGGAGAAAAAACTTAATTTAGGGCTAATGCATGATAACATGTGCCTATATTATTGTATTCGCATATGTTGCTGATACTTCCTTCGTATGCATCCACATTTGGTTAAGTGATTTGCTGTAATGACTTCAAATGTTTAATTTTAAATTTTGAACTACGTTCTAAGAATTTATTCGATAAAGGATGAAACTTACCGATGATGTCGAAAGCCTGAGAAATGATGACAACATTTTGACCCTGACCAGAATTTGTGAAGGTACCGTGAAGATAGACAACATTAGATGACGACAAGAAGTAATCATCATCCGTGACGAAGCTATTAACATTGAAGATGTACACATCGTCACCATCCTCTGCGTCAGTTACTGTGATTACGTTACGAGCATCACCATTAGAAACCGCCATAAGGACTTGGGAGTCAGGGGGTCCGTGTATTTCCAACTTGTGTACGTAGGGATTGGTCGGGTTGGTAGAAGTCTTCAAGCAGTCAATCTCTGTTCTAGCGCCTCTAGTGAGATTGATCACTGTAAACACATAGAGGACACATTTAAACTGTTACCTAGCTTTGCCAACAACTCTGCTTATAACACTTATTACACAAGAAATCGAATATTCATAAGGTCTACTCAGAACCTAGAATTAATGATCATATCCACCTCCTTTCCCCCATGGAAGACTCTTTCTCCCTTTACAATTTCCACCCAATTTCAACTACACTCACATATTCGTTGCATTACTCTAAGTGACGCGATTTTAATGATATCACTGTGTACGACGGACGCACTGTATTATAATTTCCCAGTATTATTCAACTAATGCTAAATATATTACTCATTGCGGATGTAGTATAGAAAATAGCCAACTACTTTGGTCCCTCCTGGCCTTTAATTTCTGCTGAATACTGTTGCTATTTATTGTTAACCATGTTAATATATTAACGCTTCGCCACATTGTTTATTTCTTCCCTTTATTTCGTTTCCTTCTATCTTTCTTCTTCTATAGTCCCCCCCCCCCTATCTCTCCCCCTCTGGCACTAGTTCCCTCCTCATTTCTAACTGTCCCATGCACATCTTACACCTCTCTATGAATGTATTTCCTTTACATTACCTCCATCGATGAGATTGTCGGAGGCACAGCAGTTGGGAGTACAGTGCAGAGAAGTTAGTCCATTAGTTATGCAGGCCCATACGGTATCTTTCTTCTTCTATAGTCCCCCCCCCCCTATCTCTCCCCCTCTGGCACTAGTTCCCTCCTCATTTCTAACTGTCCCATGCACATCTTACACCTCTCTATGAATGTATTTCCTTTACATTACCTCCATCGATGAGATTGTCGGAGGCACAGCAGTTGGGAGTACAGTGCAGAGAAGTTAGTCCATTAGTTATGCAGGCCCATACGGTATCTTTCTTCTTCTATAGTCCCCCCCCCCTATCTCTCCCCCTCTGGCACTAGTTCCCTCCTCATTTCTAACTGTCCCACATCTTACACCTCTCTATGAATGTATTTCCTTTACATTACCTCCATCGATGAGATTGTCGGAGGCACAGCAGTTGGGAGTGCAGTGCAGAGAAGTTAGTCCATTAGTTATGCAGGCCCATACGGTATGATTGGAAAGTACTACATCCTCGTATTGAGTGGTGACACGACACATGTGCGTTGGCTGTGTAGCTAAGGATTTAATGTTATAGTAATAATGATTAATACTATTATCATCATCATTAAGTGTGTGTGGCGTCACCTGTGTCAGGGAGGGGGAAAGCAAACTGACTCACTGTGACCCTCGGCCCTCGGGTCTCTCTTCCCAATATAACTAGGGTTGGGGATTAATTGGGGATGAGCAGGGAACCACTGTTCTTCAACGAATAGTGCAGTACGTTCTTAAAGTGCAAAGGTGATGCCTCTCTTTTACACGAGGGCTCCGTTTAACTTCCTGTCGGAGGGACGTAGTGTTTTCCACTGTAACATAGACTGCGTCTATGACACAGGGGAATTGCATGTTAACACATAACGCAGGCTTCTGTCATCTACCTGGGTTCGATTCGAACCAACATTGCCAATATCGACAAGAGCTACTTAAATAACAATAATGATAATAATAATCATTATAATAATAATTATCTTAAAAATGATGACGATCATAAAAGAACATGAATACTGATGAAATGATTTATTGTAACATAAATAGATGAGTATATGAAAAAGAAGGAAAAAAAAATCAGAAAATAAATCTCCTACAGCACTCGTGTCTGTCAGACTTGCCAGACTCTACGCTTCTGACACTCCACAGTTGACTGTGGGTGGTTATCTGGGGGTGGATGTCCAGGGGGTTGGTGGAACCAGAAATGACTACTGCATGTGGTTAAGAATATCTCTATTTTGACGTAATAGTGACCTATGAGTTAGCTATATGCGTGCAAGGCAGACCGGAATACTTTGATTATTACAGCCTGAAAACGGATATCTATCTTGAGATAAACTAACAAACAACTCTCTGCCGGTAGCTCGTGTTAGATAAACGTGAAACGATATAACAGTTTAAACAAAATATATGTTGTTTTTTATCGAACCGAAGTATCATATTCTAGAGTATACAGTAGTCATATCCTATAGCCATGGTAACTTGATTCTTTTCTAATACACTATGCTACTGCTGCTTCTAAAAATAACGATGATGATGACGATGAGAGTAGCTAGTAGTAGTAGTAGTAGTAGTAGTAGTAGTAGTAGTAGTAGTAGAGTTGTGTAGTAGTAGTAGTAGCTACAATAATAATGATAATAATGACAATGATACATAATGAATAATATTAATATGTTTGTTGTGTAAAACATGATGATGTAATAATGGCTTTGCAAAGTTTGATTTTTCTTTCCTTGGCATTTGATCCTTTTCAGCATCTAGATTTTGCCTGTCATTTTTACCACCACTACTACTACAGATATTGAATATTGCCACTTTTACTACTAGAACTAATATTAGTAATATCAACTCAGTTACTTTTCTTACTACGCTTGCATAATTTAATATTTTTTTAAAAAAACTATAACTTATCAACAAAAAGATTTCAAGAAGTTTAGCTATATATGAATATATATATATATATAATCCTGCTTAATAAAAAACACCTTTTAACTACTTTTAGACAGTTCTTATAATTAATTAGGGCTAATATAAACTTAGATGTTAAACATGTGTCATGCACGTTATCTACACTGTTGGTCATAATGGTGGAATATTTATTTTTACCCCAGTTTAGGGAAGGATTTAAAAAAAATATTTATTTCTAATAGATCTAGATAATGGCATACATTCTCAGATTTTATTGAATATGAATTTGCGAGTGTTTGTTTTGCGTGACTGCTAAATCATATGTGTGCTACTATGCTAATCAGCTAGGGAACCTACGTCCTTAAATCATAATTGACAGTAATGAGGATTAATGCCTCACAAAAGGGCACTAATATAGCTGATCGACACGATTTTTATCCTGGGGCCTCACAGTAACGTGGCCATTGCTTAGCCCCTGAATCATGACTGTACGCAGTGTTTGCTAGGGTACGCGGCCGCCCCCACAAATGCCCCAAAACGAAGAAAATGCAATAAATTGTCAAAAATTCATTGCATTTTCCCCCGGCCCCCAACAGGAAAAATTCCTCTGTGTGGCCATGCCTTGAACCATAATGCATGGCCCTACAGAGGAATTTTTCCTGTTAGGGGCCAGGAGAAAATGCAATAAATGTTTGACAATTTACTGCATTTTCTTCGTTTTGGGGCATTTGTGGAAGGGGCCGCGTACCCTAGCAAACACTGCGTACAGTCATGATTCAGGGGCTAAGCAATGGCCTCGTTACTGTGAGGCCCCAGGATAAAAATCGTGTCGATCAGCTATATATTAGTGCCCTTTTGTGAGGCATTAATCCTCATTACTGTCAATTATGACTTAAGGACGTAGGTCCCTTAGTTGATTAGCATAGTAGCACACATATGATTAAGCAGTCACGCAAAACAAACACTCGCAAATTAATATTCAATAAAATCTGAGAATGTATGCCATTATCTAGATCTATTAGAAATAAATAATTTTTTCAAATCCTTCCCTAAACTGGGGTTAAAATAAATATTCCACCATTATGACCAACAGTGTATATATTAAATTGGGAAATTATTGCGATTTTTATTGTAAAGGTTTTGCGATTTTTCTCACCACATTCTGATGTCGATGTCGTGCCAGATGCGGTGATGCACGTTCGTCCTCCGATTGGTAATGAAAGAGTTAAGCTTACACAGTATAGCAGCAAATCAACTCTCCTTCTAGGCCAATCCATAATCATTTGGTTGACATACCGGTGTAAACGAGGCATACAGTTATCCTAGTGGTGTTGTAAGATCCGAGCGAAATATAGTTGCGTGAAAGTATGCAAAATATCAATTTCAGATTAACGCTCATATAAACGAGTAAAGCAAGCAAAGCTAAACTAGATTATTTGCTGTATCACATACACAATCATGTTTATATAATGATTAACTTTCAGGCAATCTACCCATCGTCTTCCACCCACCTATCCTTTCTTCTGTTCAGACCATCAAAACCTTATTTCCTCTCAAAGAGAAACCAAACAGGAAAATGATTAAGGGATATCCATGATAATGTGGGTGCATTGAAACCTCTGAGCTCAACTCTACTCGACGTTGCTCTTCATTTGGAAGGAAACGCTCCTTGAATGACAGGCATATCATGTATAGGAGGAAATAAATGAAAGTGTAAAAACCTCTGTTTCAGGAAATTTGTGACTTAGAAAAGGCCGTAATCATTGCCTATCTAAAAGACAAGAAAAAGAATAACAAGTTACATTGCGGAGTGCAAGGAACGTATTAGCTTTAAAAGACAAATTATTTATTGAGAATAGTACCCCCGAATAATAACAATCAATTATTGAATAGCAAAAGGGAAAAACCATAACCACCCCCCCCCCCTCCCTAACATTACTAACTGAGAGAGTCTGGATTTCCGCGTCTGAGAGCAGCAAGAGGTCGATAGGGTGAAAACTTAAATCAATGTCTATTAATAGTATATAAGAATTATTACAATTGTTTTAGATTGATCGCATACTGGATAGCTCTCTCTCTCTCTCTCTCCCCCCCTCTCTCTCTCTCTCTCTCTCTCCCCCCTCTCTCTCTCTCTCTCTCTCTCTCTCCCCCTCTCTCTCTCTCTCTCTCTCTCCCCCCTCTCTCTCTCTCTCTCTCTCTCCCTCCTGTTGCAATGCGTATCAGGACAATAATCCCCTGGCCTATCTACCCATCGTCTTCCGCCTATTCTTTCTACTTTGCAGACCGTTATAATCTTTATTTCCTTATTACATAATAACATACATGACGAAAATCAATCAGATGAAAATGAGTAAGGGATATCCATGATAATGTCTGTGTCTTCACAGTCTTAATGAATTGCAACCATTCCTTTCCCCCAGATGCAGATATAAACACCTATCCAGACACTCGTCGACGCACACAAATACAAACACACCCTCGTCCACACACACATACTTACCCACACAAAAGACGCCCGAATGACGTGGCACATTAACTGTCTGTTACATTGTCTGAGGAGCGGATCCATTCTCTTTCCTTTCCTCTTTCTATTCTCTCTCTCTCTCTCTACCTCTGTCTCTCTGTCTCTCTCTATGTCTCTCCTCTCCTCTTCTCTCTCTCTCTCTCTCTCTCTCTTTATCTCTCTTTCTCTCTATCTCTCTCTCTCGATCGAGACTTTTTTTCCAATGCTGTTGTTCTTCAATTCTTTTCATTAACAATCATGGCTTTCTTTTTCTTCCTCTTATTATTGTTTTCATTTTTAGGAAATAACTACCGCTTCTATTTGTGTAAAAAAAAAAAATGTAGGTTCTTTCTCATTTTGAATGTTATTACTTTCTCAAAATATTTTTAAAAAAAACCTACAAGCATATTATCTGTAACTGTTTGCAATTTAAAATGCATGTTGATAAGGCAAGTCATTCTAAATTGTCATGTTTATTGCACATATATCAACTGTCAAGTATCAATCATAACATCCTGGTTTAATAAACATTATAACAACAAATAGTGAGCTTTTTTCGAAGAATTAAAAATGTTTTGCAAAAAGTAGAGCGGCAGGACTTATCAGCTCATATGTAAATCTAACGGTTTTGTTTACAGTATACCCGCTAAATATGTATATTGCGTCTAGACATTACATATTACTTTGATCCGATCTCGTCTTGTTGATGAATAAGAACGTTGTACTTGATCCACTCCTCCCCCCTTCTTATCTTACATTGCTCGGGAAAATATACAGATAATGCACATGACTTATAGCCCTGTTTTTTAAAAACCTTTCTTGTCAATTATGTATTGACATTATGTTGAGTGGTGTGAAATGAGATGTTGTGTGCCATTGTTTAGATGAAAACCTGAGGAGTATTGCATACACTACAATATATTTCTATGAGACATCATAACAATAATGTAAGAGATTGTGATCACATTGTAATGTTATTCGTTTGACAATTTTCATTTAAATTGCTCAAGGGAACCAATACGCCTAAATTTGTCTCTGCCAAGCCAACGTTCACACGGGTTTACAATTTTCACAGAGGGACGTTAAATCGCTTACACAAAGCGGATCGACGATTTTGAGCGTGCTAGGAATCCACGCAAGCTTGAGGCGGTATGGTAAATATACCCTCGGAAAATCGTAAACTATTATTACTTTATTTCTCTTATCTGAAGCAACTTATGAAGTCGCAACTTATGAAGTCGCAACTTATCAATTTAAATGTTATCATTCGACCCATATCGTACCAACAAATTAACCCGACGCTGGGCTAATGATAAGCTTTTGTTTAAATATCAGATTCAGGAAATAAAGGTTTTGAGGTTTTGTATTTTGTTCTCAGACCCATAACAGCGTTTGACTGACTTAGTAGAATATGGAACAAAGTATCATTATAATCATGATAATGTGAATTTACTGCATGTTAGTTGAATTAATGCTCTGTTAAGAGCCAGAAGGGCATTAACTTTGTGTTAAAGTTTATGAGTTAGTGCCTTTTTGGCTCCAAACCGACACTTTATTTATTCGCCCAGTATCATTAAATCAGAGTTCTGGTCGTCCCAATTGCCTTCGTGCATAGTGGAGTTGAGGTACCCGAACTCGACAGAGTCGTGAGATCCCTCGGTATAGGTCGAGGTTGGTTCGCTTGAATTCGGGCTCCGCGGCTGTCGATTAATATCGAGGTACCTGAATGTATAGACAAGGAATTTAACAATAAAGATACAAAAATATGCGAAATTTCTTTAGTTTTGATTTATGTAGAATATGATATAGTATCCTGCAGTTAAAATTCCTTTTCTCGTAAAACGGAAGGTTATTTACCTGTTTTACTTTCAATTCCCGGTTATAAGGCCGTTGTTGGTTTAAGAATGTGTTATTACAGAGCTGAATACTATATCATGATAGATCTGCAAGTGTCATCGAGAGAACAATGATATTATTCACGTCTCTTTCACACCGGGTACATGAAGAAGGAAATAGATTTGCCTACATTTATGACCATTAATTTTGCAGTTAAAGGGGAAGTCCACCCTGAAATTAAGTTAGTTTTAATAGGAGTAGAAAAATGAGAGAAACAAGTCAGTGAAAGTTTGAGCAAATTCCGATTAAAAATAAGGAAGTTAGGATTTTTGAAGTTGTGATCAATCAAACACAAATTGGCAACTCTATGACGTATCATGCGAGCTCAACTTCCATTTGTTCAGTACTAAAAAAATCTAAAATTTTCATTTTCCCTCAAGAAAAATTTCAACCATACATGTACCCTAAATATAATAATTGCAAATATGTTTCTATACTCCCCCTGCAAGGAACAAATATATATTCTGTCATCAATAACGAAGAAAACATGATTTTATGGAATATTATGCACAAAGCAAATGAAGGAGAGCTCGTATAATAAGTCACAGAGTTGCCAATTTGTATTTGATTGATCACAACTTCAATAATTCATAACTTTCTTATTTTCATTCAGAATTTGCTCAAACTTTCACTCACCTGATTTACTTATTATTCTGCCTCTATCGAAACAAACTTATTTTGGGGGTGGACTTTCCCTTTAATGATATTTGCAGTAAATAATATGCGATCTGCAAATGACACTCTTAAAAGTTTTTCCAAATATCCAAATGTGTCTCTTCGCCCCTAATTTTTGTCTGCATATAATGTAAGTAAAAATTTGCATTGTACAAGTTGCCATTTACAAAAAAAGAAAAAAAGAATGAATACAATTAATTGAGAGAGAAATTTCGTCTTAACTTTACCTCTTTTTGAACCACAGGGCTCCCATTATCAAAGCGATAATAAACGTGATTGAGAGTACCACCGTCACCGATATCACAACCTTATTTGAATCTATTGGATAGAAAAGAAAAAATTACTGATATTTTAAAATTAAAAAGCCCGGTTAAAAGCGGATTTTTGTTGATGATTGTTGGATCTTATAAGATACATATGTCGAGTAATACCTGTAAGACATTTAAAAATAAATCATTTTGGTTTGTTTTTTAAAGGATTATCAAAAGAATGCATTAAAAATCAAATAGTGTGGTGCTCACAAATAGATGAAATTTGGGGTCCGATTTATCATATCTTGATTTGTTGTATATTTTCCTTATTTCTAACGGATTGTCGGAAAATTTGCTGATTTGTTTCTAATCAAATTCAACCTGGTGCCAGGATAGAAACGCCCCGTTCTCTCACCTGCATTGTAATTTGGAGAAACTGTGGTGAAAGGAAGGATTGGTTCTTTTCCATCGTTGAGAATGAGTAGCTGTACGTTGTTTATCTGGACCTCTCCCGCTCCGCTTGCCTTAAACGTTACCTGAATGTAATACAGACATTGCCAAAAAGAACAATCATTATAATAAGTATGATATACTGGTATCATGGCAGGGAGAAAGTCTTCAGTCATTGTTGTAGTTATAGCTAATTGTATTTATCTATCTAATCACTTTATTTATTTTTTCTGATTTCACAATACAAATATTGTTCTTTTTTCTTTCATTTTGGTTTGTTTGTTGTTTCATTTCGTAAACGTGAAAATGTGAATAGATGCACTTACTGTCCAATTATCAGATTCAAATGAAGAAGCATTGCATGATAAGTTGACTGGAAGTCCGAACTGCGATAAAGTGTTGTCATCATCGGGTAGACATATTATTATGTGATCGCCTACTGACATAATAGGTTGATCTTCTGAGCCAAACGTCGAGGTGATATTGTAACCGAATGATAGCAAAATGGCGCTATCGTTGAGGATGTTGCTCGGTGGAAGCCCTGTATATGTCATACAACCTGATTGGGATCGGTTTCCTCTGTAACCTGAAATAGTGATAATAGTCTAAAGCGATAATGAACTAATGGACTTTCAGGCCTAGCGTACTGTTTATTGCACATCGTCATCTCATGATCACTGTGCCAACAGAACTAACCCAATACCTAACGTTCACTTCGCAGTCAGAGGACTCGATGCGAGAACTAATATCGAAGCTAGGGAGGCAGATAAAATAATAGGACCATACTGCTACATCTGACCTGATATGGCGCTAGATGGGATATAGTAATTACTAATACAGTAAGGCTTTAAAACTGTTGTGAGAAAAAAAAAAACGAATATCATTTCAGACAGCTGCTTGCAATTTTTCTCACATGGAATCCTAATCCTAATCCATTTAAAAGTGACTACACCTAGTTTTTAAAGAAGGTTGAATATTCAAATGTATCCTTAAATGCACTGCACAGTTTTCATGGAATAAATATGTTGCATCTACTAAATGTATCTCAGAATGCCAACTCCATCCTTGCTTCCAGGATTTAAATGCTTTTGATAAAACTTTGTAGGAAGTTGCGTTAAACTATTCAACTTTTTGTTTGGGGTTAAACCTTTGCTGGATACTGCAGGAGAAAAGGCAAGCAACCTAGTTTGTATATTTTCTTTAGATCAATATGAGTGCTAAGCCCCCCTCCCTAAACCTTCTGGTAATCCCGGATTCGCCACCAGTGGTAATTCTCTTTCGTTGGCCTTAAACATGCTTATTAAATGTGTTTTTCCCCTTAAGTTAGTTTGTTTTAATTGTCAGTTGGTTTGTTAGTTAGTAAGTTCGTCAGCTAGTTTTTTAGTTAGTTAGTTAGTCAACTTGTTAGTTTGTTGGTTTATTCTTTTTTCTTCATAATAATGAATGTAAAGGGTACGGTGTACATGTCCTAATAGGAGTGTGTAATCATAGTTCCGAATTAGGTAACGGCTGAAAAGTGATTCTTACCTGTTTCGGTGCTCCATAGATTTTCTGCAACGGTGTCAGAAGAATTGAGAAGACAACCATTAGAATAGTCTGAGATGTTGACTTTATCTACAAAAGAAGCACATAGTGATGATTTATTGAGGTTATAACAAGGAATACTCATTTCCCACAGTTACATTATGATAAAAGTAAGCAGGGGTTCCAGACCTAAAGTGAGGCCAAAGGAAAAGGGAAATTGTTTTCATTCCGAGATACAGAAAACTGGTCGGGATAATAGTCTCGCCCGGGGAGGGGGGGAGGGGGGGGGGGGGTTACCGCCAGTGATAAGAGCCTACATTATCATCAGATAATGAAATATATCAGTCAAGATAGACAAAAACATTTTATCGCAACAATGATCAATATCAAAGGTTTAAAACGGTAGTAAATGAGACCTCCTTATGCGAACTGTTCATATAATAAGACCATACAATCCAATTTTCGAGATCTTAGATAAATATTGGTTCTCATTCTGATTATAGCTGGCCTGTATTTTCATTTGAAAATATGACATTATTTGTTTAAATTCTCAGTATAAACATCAAAATCCAAATTATGTCGAGTAGACGTACACCCTGCGTGTTGTTTTATTATGTTAAATGAATACCCCTAGAAAGTGGACGTCCCGCAAGGTGCGAACCTTAGCTGCGCTGGACCAGCTGATTCACCATGCACACTGTCTGGTGTTCCTGATATAGTACATATCAAATATATTATAAGCTGACCCTGAATAGGTGGGGTAGAAAGAGCATCACTGCGGAACGTCCTTAAATTGTAGCTTACAATTTGTTTCGCTACACAATATGAAGATCTAGCCATATCTTGGAACGAGGCTTTACTTGATGTGCTATAAAACTCCACATGTAAATTCCACAAAAAGATTGACTCACCCACTACTTTCAAATCCCATGCCGTCACAAATAAGGTTTGGGTCGTCTCCATCGAAAAATAGGCGTATAAGAGTTGAACAACGTGCGGCAGGGTTGCCTTCATGTGGTCCTCATTCGCGTTGAAAAACGAATTGTCAGCTCCCGGACCAATCACGAAATTATCATAGATGAAATATGTGACGTCATTGATGCTTGCGTTGGTCGAGTTGGAGTTGTTGCTTACGTCATAATGAGGAACGCGAGGAAAAACGTGTGTGCCATAAGGCGATGTGAATGTCATAGAATCAGTGTTGTGTCTGGGTAGGTTTATCTGCGGTATCGAGCAGGTGACCTCTTCAGTCATTCCGTCGGTGATATTGAACCCTGCGAGATAAATGAAGAAAAAATGATGAAATACGGCAAAGTGATTTCCGAAAACGTGTTGAGGAACGGGTAAAAGACTTATTCGTCCGTCCGAAACATATCTCATACACTTCAACTTAAAAAATAAATACAAATATTTCAAAAATTTACTTTGAACTGGCCATGTATTCAGGTGTACTGCATATTCCATGATGACATTAATCTTCATTATGATGAGAGGTGAACTTCGGATTCAAGACATCTTATTAGCAGTTAAGAAGAACACAATCGAATCAACTTTTTTTAAATTTAATTATCTTTCATTTCTTTCTTTTCCTCCCCTCGTCTAGTGCTTCCAATTTCTCCTGCCACCTTGCTATTAAAACCGTTTGTTTTTGTTTCATACTTGGAAGTACAATGAAAATACAATGTTGTTGCCGTTGTTGTGCTGTTATTATTGTTATTGTTGTTGTTGTTGTTGTTTTATTCTCACCGGCACTTGTTGGACCGTAGGTGTCAAGGCAGCAGTCGGGAATGGGACGAACTGACATATTCGCATATCCATAGTTGCAAATCCAAGATGTGTCATTCCATAGAAGCGAATCGTTGTAGTACAGGTAAATGTGTGCGTGGCATAAAAAGTTCGGTTCCAATCCTAATTAGTATGAGAAATACACACACACGCACATACACATAAATAATCACAAATCAAGAAGAAAATAATAAAAACATCACGTCTAAGTTGATAAAAGTTAGATAGAGTACTACTACTACTATTACTTACTACTTACTACTACTAATATTACTACTGCTACTACCACATGTATTAATACTGCCCTTAATATACTACTATTACTTCTACTTATATTACTGTTGCTGCTACTACAACTGCTACCATGCACCACTACAATTACTGCTACCACCACCGCCACTACTACTGCTTTCATTACAACTCCTGCTGCTGCTAATACTCCTACTACTACAACTTATAGTTCTAGTACATGTGTATAGTTATACCACAACAACTACTACCATTGCCTATACTAGACTACTACTATACAATTACTACTACCACCACCTCTACTTCCACCATTACTACTACATGTACTATACTACTACTACTACTACTACTACTACTACTACTACTACTACGTGTAATACCACGGCCGCTATAACTACTACTGCTGATGCTTATAATACTTCTTTTACTACTTGTTATACTTCTGGTGCATATAATACCACTACTACAACGTACTATCATTACCACCAGCACTATACTACTAATACTGTTACTACATGTACTATTACTACTCCTACTGATGCTACTACTACTACTACTACTACTACAGCTATTACTTATATTATCACTAATACTCCCACTGCTGCTGCTGCTTCTATATACTAACCACCAACACTCCAACCAAAATCATCACAACCACAATCATACCTCCATAATGCGTTGGGCATGATAAACTGCATGTCCATTCATGTACGTATTCATGCGTGGTTATAAACATTTCCTTACATTTTACAAGGATATAGTATCTGTGCAATAAGAATTCATATCGACACTGATGATAGATGTGGATAATCATAAGCACTATATATCAAAATGATCTCAGTCATTGCTCTTACCACATTCTTCAGTTGATTGAGTCGTCACTTCCCCCATACTGCTTGCTGCATGTATACCTAGGACTGAAAACGTCAGGAATACATGCAACAGGATCAAGCCATTTCTACGTTTACAATTCATGACTATCCGCGTATGCTATAATTTTATCCAAGCTCGATAAATGTTTCAAACACAAGAAAGTTGAGTGAGGGATTTATAACTATGGAAAAATCCTGTCACTTACGTTCACGCTTGCAGTCGTAACTCGCTCATTAAATACTATTCCCCGGCATATCTCTATTTCGGTTTTGTTTGCCTAGCCACATTATTAAATTATTTTTGCAGGGCAAAAAGGTTGAAGATACAAAATATAGACAATAAATAGTCATGCTTGTATAGTTTAAATACTACCTGGTTTATGGGAGCATGGACTTGCTTTATAACCAGTCTGAAGCAATGAAAACAAGAAGACACAGTGCACTATATCGAGTACATTATGTAAGTTATTCTTATTTAAACGAGACTTAGGCTGCGTTTTGCGCATATGGAAAAGAAACACCGACATGTTTCCACACAGGGACCCACAGGGACCCACAGGGACCCACAGGGACCCACAGGGACCCACAGGGACCCACAGGGACCCACAGGGACCCACAGGGACCCACAGGGACCCACAGGGACCCACAGGGACCCACAGGGGCCCACAGGGACCCCACTGGAAATAAGCTCTCGAGCTTTCGTGGGTTATCCTGTTCAAGCTGACTTATTTTTGATCTGTTATTATTGTATATTGTTGTATATTGGAAGCTTGTCGAATAAAAATCAATCAATCAATCAATGGCCTGTCTACGAGCCAAAATTAATGCTGGCTGACAATTTACTCTTTGACATACCTTTGACCTTAATTCTGTGTCACATCTCTCTCTCTCTCTCTCTCTCTCTCTCTCTCACTCTCTCACTCTCTCTCTCTCTCTCTCTCTCCTTTTATCTCTTTCTCATTCTCTCTGTCTCTCTATCTCACTCTTTCGGTTCGTCTCTCTCTCTCTATCTCTCACTCTCTCCCTCTCCATCCGTCTCTCTCCCTCTTGTGTCGCTCTCTCTCTCTCTCTCTCTCTCTCATAATTATTTGCAGTTTTGCCTGTCATGTTAAAGGGATAGTTGAGTTCTGTTGCAGAGGGCGCAACACAAAATATTTTTTTGGTGAGATAATGAAACACCGAGTGTCAAATTTGAAAGAACATAATATTTAAATGACAAAATCACCTTTGTTTGATCAAAATCGGTTCAGAGACGGCTGAAATATAAAGATTTCTGATATTTGTGTACCACCACAAATATTAGATATTTTGAAAAATTTGAAAAAACCGTTAAAAAAAACGAAATAACGCCTTTTACTCAGCCAATGCAGATGTTGGCTTTTTTGTTGGCATTTTCGTGTTGCTTATATTACCACAATTAGCCGGCTCATGTTTTGTTATTTTTAATTAAATAATTAATTAACGGTCACCGTGTTTTTTTTTTTAAGTGGAGCTGATTTGGTATGATCGTATTGGCTAAATTTCACACAATTTGGGGTCTAAAATTACCTTCATAACAATTTTAGGTTCTAAAAGGTCACCATAAATGTCATAGATAAGAATAAGAGCAATAACCATGCACTTTGAAGGCATTTGCGGTGTGAAAACAGAACTCAACTATCCCTTTAAGCTCTCCCTGCCTTTCGACTCCCTCCTCATAAACTTGACAATTCTTTAATTGGGTGCTTCACATTATTTTGCGATGATGATATTTATTATTATCAGAGGTTCATTAGTTGAAACTGTGTTATTCTGGCCGCAGTATGTACAGCCGCTAAAGGCAGAGCACAGGGGAGGAAGCCGGGTGCTCCCTGCCTGCCAAGCCAGCGGTGAGGAAGCTCATTACGACGATAAGTCAATAGTATACAAATATCGCACGGCCTAGAGTGCAATAGCGGTGAATGCAGTACGCGCGAGGTTTCTTTAGATTGGTGCCGCTCTGTGCAACGAGCCGCTTGCGGCGAGTTCACAGTGCGAACCATCTGAAGAAACCGAGCGTACACTGCATTTACGTTTCGCACAACAGGGTCAAGTGCGTTATTTGTTTCATGAAATAGCGACACAAATACTAAAGAGCAACAAACAAAAGTTTAGATCTTAAGTTAGAGTTTACGAGAGTTCGATCTACATCTAGAGTTATGTTGGTTCTACTAGACTAAAATAAGAGTAAGACCTTGCAGGCTTACCAAAAAGTCCACGGGATTCATTGTTTGATTAAAAATAAAATCCATAGGGGGTCTAGAGACGAGTCTACATGCAGACAGCTGAAATTCCTGGCTTCATTATAAAATCCAAAAGTCAAAACAGGTCTAAATCCAAGGCAAAATAAAAAATAAAAATTTGCTTTCTAATAATACCCCGCTCTAGCTAGAGCTAGGATCATAGCGTACAATATTAGCTACGCATAGCCTATAGCCTACAATGCACTCGAGGGAGGGTACTTGTACTACGCGTACGCGTACGCGCTGGATCTCCATGGTCACGTGTATTATAACTTTTTTTGCGCTTTTTTTCTGCACTCATTTCTGCAAAATCGTTCTTGCATCAAAAATTTGTCTATGTCATATATACTGCTCTGGTTGGCAAAGGGAAACCAATACAAACCTTAACTTGGGGGTGGGGGGGGGGGATAAAGTGATACGGCACCATGAAGCTTTCTCCTTCTCTGTATAAGTCTTCAGACGTTAAAGGATTTGCTATTACATTGCTAGGTGTTTTGAGGCTGGGTTCAACATTCCTGGCGAGGAGGTGGTACCAACAAATTGCACCCTTTTTTTTATTTGGGGGGGGGGGGGGGAGGAACAGGCAACGTAGTATGCGTGCACTTTTTATACGCCATATTGAACAAACATGATTAGTAATTCTTGGGTGAAACAAGACATTTATCCGAAAAATTATTTTACGCCATATTGAACATACTTGATTAGTAATTCTTGGGTGAACTAAGACATTTATCCGAAAAATTATGTGCACTTGATAATCCCAGTACGTTTCATTTATGGATTACAATGAGATTGTAAGATCATGGCTTGTTGTAGAACAAATCAGACACTGCCCGCAATATCGTCAAATGCGTCATTAAGGCCACGTACGTACGTGACCGTATTAACCCCTTTTCGAGGGGCGTAGCCCAGCAAGCGTGAGAACTGTGAAAAATGGTTATTATCATTTTTTGGTCAATACAGAGATTTTCTGAAAAATATTTAATATGGAAACACTGGTAACAAAAATGTATCTCAGGAGTGGTTGAGCATCTTTATCCTTTTATCAATCACAAGTGCCACAATGCTGTAACAAAATGTTCGGATTCAATTGACAAATGCAAGGATTTCAGTAGCATATATTATATACCTCACTTAAGAAATCCAGCCATCTGATTGGTCGAATTGCATTCATAAACTTCAACTGTTCCTGTAAAATTCCCGGTAACCATGCATAAAACATTTACTATTTTTAATAACCATGGTTATTAAAAAAATAGGTCAGCCTCCATGGTTACCCCATAGGTTTACATGTTAAAAAATGGTTTGAGCGATCGAGGATACCGTATGTGTGCGAAGGATTGGTCGGTAATTTCAATACAATTGAATCTCGATCGATCTTACCGACAATTTTATCTTGCATTGTTGACATGAAGACGAAAATAAGCTTCCAAAAACAAAAAAACAACATCTGCCGATAGATCTTGATCTAAGTTCGTGCCAATATGCATTGCAAAAGTAAAAGAAGGGTGCTTTTGCGAAGCATTCATCACGCCGAAGCCGGTTTCAATCCACTTTAATGTATATATTGTACAAAACTGCCAAGCTCGTGAACAGCGCGCGATGGCCGAGTGGTGTAAGGCGTTGGTGTAAGAATCAACACTCATTGTACGCAAGAGTTCGACTCTCACCTTCGACAAAAAAAAAAAAAAAAATTATTTTTTATTTTTTAGTCTATTTTTTTTCGGCATATAAAAGTATTAATGACTGCTTTAATATTCGAGAAATAGTTGTTTTCATACGCTCTCGGGAAGGTTACAATTGGGCTATTCCCCTCGGCAAGCCTCGGGGAATAGCACAATTCTAACCTTCCCTTGAGCGTAATAAAACAACTATTTCTCTCAAAGCAGTCATTAATACTATACTATTATCAGATATTCTGTTTTGTCACTGATAATACTTTTGATGGAACAGGGACCCAATTCAAATCATTTTATTTACAAAGTGCAGCGGTGTCTATCGATTGTCATATTCTTTTCTTCTTGCTTGCCATTCTGTTGCACTGTATGCTTGCATAATATGTCATGTTAATAGTGAATGCGAGTTATATTTGAAACGGTACATGCATATCAATCACTGCCAAATGCGCAGTCATTTGAATTTGGACGCTTTGCGACTCGGCGCCATCTTGACTCGTCTGAGGCTCAAATTAGCAGTAGATATTGATCAATTAATCTTCTTCCGACAAAGTTTCATTATCGAAGGAGTTTCTACATTTTCAACGTCCTTTTGGAATTCAATACAACTATTACTAAGGTAAGAGTAGCAGATGAGGCCTAGAATGGGTGAGATTGTATTGTTTATCGCTTTGATAGAGTATGACAAATTTGGGATTTTAAACGCGGAAGTGAGATAAAAATGTAAAAGAGAAAAACATGAATGTATGTGGGTAGACTATGTAGTTTGGGGTGTATTTCTAAGTTTGTGTGAAAAGGTGTTTGAGGCAACAGATGGACAAAATTAGGTAATATTAGTTCATGATGTGGATGAAACGGAATGAAGCAGTATATTTTACTTCTATTTTGTCTATATAATCTGCGGTTTTAAAGCTAAGTATGTAGTATATCCCCTGTTTCTCTTCCCCCACCCCCTCTGCTTTATATCTATCTTTGCTTCTCTATATATATATCTCTCTCTCTCTTCCCCCTCGTGTGTATACATGTATTTCTCATCATCTCGATGTCAATGGTTTTACATATAAAGGAGCCTGGTTTAATATTTAAGATTTTCTGCTTTCCTTCATAGTAACTTATATTAGGGATATATTTCCCTAAAAACACCTATAGCTATCAATACTTACTACTAGCTCTCAACTTCTGAGAGGTTTACTAATTATATAAAAAGGGTCACAAAATAAACATTAACATTGTAACATGCAATACTCTTTTGGCGTGACACTTGACCATCAAGTGTCATTGATGATAGTAAGGCTTTAATGTTGCTACCCAGCAAGCCTTTCATATTATTCCAAGTATTTTGATATAAGATTTATCTTATTAAACTGTTTTTGGATGATAACTATGTCTGGTTTTGCATAATACTTTTTAAAGTAAAGTACGCATATTCTTATACACCTTTTTATTAATCTCAGAAGTATTCAGACAATCTCGTTTGTTACCTTAAATGTCATCCAAGGTTAATGTTGTTGTTGATGTTTTTACAGCTCTTATGCATTATAAACATTATCATTTATTAGAACATTAGTCATATTAGTATTTGTTATATCGTCGGAGGGGTGACAAAACCTCGTATCTCAAAAATCATGAATTTTCAGGAGAGCAAAAAAACTTTCCTGTCTCAATAAATTTAGTGCTGTGACACCGTCCTTTCTTTTTAAAACTGGAATATTTATACAATTTTTAATGTCATTGTTGAAATACAGTAAAATAATTGTTTTTATATTTGAAAGTGAGTTACGAGGTTTTTGCTTGTATCTACATTGAGATACGAGTTTTTAGTTGTTATTCAAATTGAGATACGAGTTCTTACTTTCAACTCTGAATGAGTTACGAGGTTTTGGTTGAATAAGTTACGAGGATTTGAATACACTAGCTTCGGTACTGTTAAACCGTGTGTGAGTTACGAGGAAAAGGAATTACGTATCTTATGTTACGAGGTTTTGTCAGTGCAGCTTCAAAGGGGGTTTAAGTTACGAGGTTTAGTTTAAGGGTGTTTGTGTGGATTTGTGAAAAACCGAGACAGGAGGCGTTCCATGGATTTATCAGGTGGTGTCGTAAACCATTAGCTACAAAATTATGCAAAAAATCAAAATCTCAAAAAATTGCGATACGAGGTTTTGTCACCCCACCGACGATATGTAAACGTTCATCAACCTTGAGAGCCATTTGAATGTCATTATTGATTTGACGGTATGTAAAGGATTCAGATGGAGGAGTTATTCTGTGGTCATTTGTTATTTGGAAAATTGGAAAGTGATCAGTTGCATCACAATACAGAATACTAGGAGTTAAACTGGCACACACATTATGTTTATAGAAAAACTTTTGTCAATCAGATATGCAGACTTCTTAGTTACCATGGTACGAGGCAGAACAAAATGTGAATAAATTATACTAACAAAATCATTATCATTATTTTGCATATTCTTCACATGGTTAATGTTAAAACCAATCATATTAATCTAGACTATATTAAATTAAATATTTAAATGTTTGATTTGTTTTTTTTAATATCATTTTAACTACTATTGGTTTGCCAATTTTATCAATTATTTCAGTTAAAAAAAGATTAAAGATCATCTGAATGAGTCATTGTGGCATCTCTAACAGTAATGTCAAGATAATCTATAGTTAACTAGCAACACCACCATCCCTTCCACCGGTACGTTCGGATGGGATAAAAGTGTAACCTTGTTTCTTGAACAATAATAAAGTATTTCCATGTATCCATGTTCCATAGAAAGCTAGAGAATGAAAACTCAAAGGTATACAAATATCCATCACACTGTGTGCGTAATATGTCCTAATTTGGAATTAAACTCATCTCAAATGATATTTGTTATACTCCTTAAAGTTACTTTTTACAAGCTTCATTACAACATTGATACCCTTGATATATTTAATGTTAGTAATATATTTCAAGGTAAATAAATTTGACAAACGATATAAACATAATTGAGACTTACATTTGCAGGTACTCAGGCGTACCGGAAGCAGTTTGGGATTTGCGGGCAAACATTCAAGGGGGCTCACTTTTTAGGGGGCAGTGGCGTAACGAGCAAAAACTTGTTTTGTTGTTTGGGGAGGGGGGGGGTGCAGAAGAAAAATCTGCATCATCACAGGTTTTATATGTTATATACAGGCCCCGCGGAACGTTTTGCAAAGTGGATCAGGTAGAGCGTAGAGAGCGAAAGGAGTGGAGCGTAAATTGGCGTGGGGTCCAGGGGCTTTGCCTCGGCCTGGGTCAAGGGGCGGAGCTCCCGGAAGCTCAAGTGTTTTAGGCATTTAGTTATGCTCAGTTAAGCGTATTTAGATACCTTATTTGTGACACTGGCAGGTCTATAATCAGGGGTTTTAGGCATTTGATTAAGGTCAGATGAGCATCCAGGGGCCTATTACTTTAGAGCCCCTGGCGAGCCGTTTTCTAAAATTGGTCCGATGTCGGCCCGACGTCAGTTTGGCGACCGCGATATTGCCGATGACTGCCGACAGCGATATTGGCCGATGACTGCCGACAACGGCCCGACATCAAATTACTAGCTGGTATATAACTGACCATTGACTTATCGTCGTAGTGAGCTTCCTCACCGCCGGCTTGGCGGGCAGGGAGCACCCGGCTTCCTCCCCTCTGATCTGCCTTTAGCGGCTGTACATACTGCGGCCATAATCACACACTTTCAACTAATGAACCTGTGATTAACAAACAGAATCACTGCTCTTGTTGGCAAAGGGAAACCAATACAAATCTTTCTTCTTTTTTTTTTGGCGGGGGGGGGGGGGGGTACGGCACCGTGAAGCTTTCATATTGCTCCAGTTGTCTCACATTTTCGCCAGCACACACCGTTGCAGGGTGTATATGCCATTAGGTATGATGTGTGAACCGGGTGTGCGGAAATGGTGTGTTGGGGAGGGGAAGTAAGAGTGTTCATGTGTGTGGTAATTGTATGTGTGTCAACAAGTAAAGACTAATACATGACAGATGGCTAATCATAAATATACAATGACGAGTAAACTGTGCACATCACAGTCCACAGATAACGTATATTTCAGATGGCAATCGGCGGATCAGACGACACTTGATAGTGAGTTTGTATGTGAGATTGCTTTGCTAAATATAAAATACAAGAACCTTTTCCATATCTTTAAAATATCATTGATATCTGATAATTAAACAGTTAGTAAAATAAACCTACCAAACTACATAATACAATGAAATACTTGACTAAAAGTAGGGGAGTTTGACGGGGTGCACAATTGCACCCCTCTGTTATTAATCGAATAGTCCATGGTATTCATGAATATTCATGTTTTTGTATTCATGGTTTTTATACTAAATGGAAAAATTACGGTGGGGGGGGGGGGGGGGGTTGGCTGAAATAGACATAATGAACAAATCAGAACTGATCTGCGATAAGTCATGCTTGTTATCCTTCGTGTGCTTGACTTATAACCTTATGATCGAGTGGCAAATTGCGTCCAGAGTTCGACTTGTTGCACAGGCAATGGCGAGCTGGCGACCTATTTTGACCAAATTACGGTGGGTAAACTTTCAAAAGTCAATGGGACACGAGGGTTCCAATGAAAGAGCTAGTGATAACGTACATCGGGGTGCTTGTGCTTTTCGTTAAAACAAACAAATGAAATTTTAACCATTTTTTTAAGGTAAAAGTCCATAGGCTAACATGTTTATAGGCTGCTGGACTCTGACGATAGGGGGCGTTGTCAAATGAGACTAAACGGAGCTATATGCTCCTTCTCTGTATAAGTCTGCAGACGTTAAAGGATTAGCTATAACATTGCTAGGTGGATTTTGGGTTTGGGTCCCTAATTCCAGACGAGGAGGTGGTACCAACAAATTTACACCTTTTTTGTAATTTTGTATCAAAATACTTGGAATATTATGAAAGGGCATACGTACTATAAGTGCACTATGGGTACGTCAGATTGAACTCACATGATAAGTAATTCTTGGTTGTAAATTAAAGTCGTCAATTTGGAATCGTTACTTATCTTCCTCTTTGACTCTCCAGTAATCAACATGAAGCTTCTGCTCGCATCAATGGCCGTTCTAGCCGTGGCAGCTTACGGCTTAGATCTAGATGCCAATGCGTGTCATCCATGCCCCCAGTTCTGGCTTTTATTCAACGGGAACTGCTACCGTTACTTCGGGGAGCGGGTCACTTGGGAAGAGGCTCGGAATCGCTGCAGGGATCACTATTCCTTGAATGGACGGGCCGATTTAGTATCCATTCACTCGGAACAGGAAAACGCCTTCGTATACGACCTTTTCCGTTCTTCTGCAAGCATCACACCGGATCTTGTAAATATGGATGACCTTTTATAGCTTAATAGACTGTTAATTAAAAGAAAATCTAACCTTGGTGGCAAATAACTATATAAGAAATCAGGAAACCCAGAGAAGCAGATTGGTAAAAGTTTGAAAGAAATCGGACAAAAATTGAGAAACTTATGCATTTGTGAAAGTTACAATCGCTATCGCTATGGGTTCTTCAAATTGGCTGAATCGTTAAATAGTGTCTATGTGATGTAGTAGCGGATGACTTTCCCACTTATGCCATCACACAAAATGACTGAAATTTCAATTTTCGAAAAATGTATGACTTGGAACGGTCTTTTCTTTTCAGAGAACCTGTAAATAATATACTCTCCATAATTATATGTTGAGAAGTGCCCAAAGGGTGAAGGTACTTGGGGGAAAAAACAGAAATTCAAGTGACTGTCAAGAGTATTGTTTTTTCCAATGACGCATCATGATAATTCTGTGGGTTACGAGGAACGGGGTTCGGTAACCAGCCGTGCACTAATGTCCTTTTACAAGACATTAATCTTGTTTGCCACTCTCCACCCAGTTACCAATGGGTAGTGAGTGAGTCCTGGTTACGTTGGCGGCTCGGCTATAACCAGAGTAATAATGTATCAGTGCCATGAACATCACAGCGTCACGGATGTGGGCGCTATATAAGAAGCCATTATAACATGCAGTTCATGAACAATGATAGATTCACTTTCTTCTGATCTGATTTTAATGATTTTTTTTTTAACTGGTTTAATTGTTTGTTGTTGTCCTGGACAGAGTGCTCCGCCAACTTATGGGGTTTGGATTGGTGCATACCAGACAACAATAGGCTCAACCGAACCTTTCATCTGGTCTGATGGATCCGGTCTAAACTTCGAGCAATGGATGACGGGTCAGCCGTCCAACTGGAAAGGCAACGAGGACTGCGCTCATTTGTGGCGTAGGGACGCAGAAGATGATATCCTCCAGTCGTGGAACGACATGCCCTGTGGAAATGACCAGCCTTTCATTTGTAAGGTGGCCCCAAATTAGAAATTCGAATTCGGCTGTCCCTTGAATTCGAAGCTTCCTTGATGTATCTGTGTGGTTAAGACTACAATTTGAATTCTTTGACATTATTCTGAAATCCTTGGAAACTAGTAGTGCTAGCAGCATAGATTGACTCAATAGGACTATCATAACGTTCCGAGGGTGTGGCATGGATGACCAATTCTATTTTCCACAGTCCATTAGTCAGTCTATCGTGTTTTCGCTTCATTGCAAGGGACAAATTGACGGTTTGGGAGAAGTTTACATTTAGTTTTCTTTCTAGTTCAGTATACAAAATCCGTCACATTGTTAAACGTTTAAGGCTCCGTCATCCCGCCGTATTTTAAATAAACAACCGTTTTTTGTTGGGGGGGGGGGGTGTATAGGCACTTCAAGCCCTTAAAGATACATGTTTAAAGAAAATTTCCGGAGGAAATTGGGAAAGGTTAATTACAAAGTATTTGTTAATTGCTGTATACGCTGAGGTTACAGAATCATCAAAATGATGGAATTAGAGATTCGATTTTAGTCACGTTCAGTGCTCACATAAATGGCGATATGGGACACACACATGTGCTTGAAACTTTGGTTCAATATTTCAGCTATTTCTCGTAATATTTCAGATCTAAAGGCATTTGCAGAGCGACTCATATTAGATGACATTTTTGCCATGATATTATTTAAACAAAAGTAACACATTAAAAGAATGAGACAAATTAAAGATTCTTATCCCTGTACCAGAACTCTGTCTTCTTTTCACGAGCGAATGCAATGTCAATTAAAGATGCTAGATCCGTAGTGAGTACCTTCAGATATAATTAAGAAGGATACTTTTAATTGGTTTCAGGCTTTCAATGTCATGGTGATTAACTGTTGTTCTGAAATTCTATTCATTTACCTTAGCATCCGTAGATAAGAGTGAAATTTAAATTCGCCGTTTTTTTTTAAATCAAATATCTTTGCTGTGGAAATCTACAAAATATGATCATATAAATTTTGCTCCTTGAATTTGAGGATCTGTTACTTGAAAAGTCGAATTACTGTAATATACCACTCAACATATATTTCATCCCCTCTTTCTATGTTTTTAGTGTTCCCTTCCTTTTTCTTATCACATTTCCTGCTACATATTTCTTTTCTACAGTTCGACTAAGCCAACTTTATTTTATGCTTTTATAGCTGGAGTGAATGAATTACAGGCCATATCTCACAATATTTGTTTGGGTGTTTGTTTGTTTTTATTTGAGATTATGAGCAAGTTTAACATGAGTGAGGCTAGCCATGAGGACTAAGTATAAAGACAGGGATGTAAAAAGTTGATTGGATACATGTACTTCTTTTGTGTACGAGAGCATTTGTCAATTAATATATGGGTCATAATAAGTTCATTGTTCCCTGTATGAACCTTTTTTGAACTACATACCATGCGCATAGGACTAAATAGTGCCCTTGAATATGATCTTCAGTTGGCAATCATGAGAACTTCAAGCTTAATCAATTCGCTATGGGAGCCATGACCTGCAAGTGTTACCTATCGTTCCTCATATGCAAATGTTTGTTTGGATTTGTCTCATGAAAAAAGTTGACCACAACACTCATCGTTGAGTGCAGGGGACACGGGCACAGAACTGTAAACTACGTAGAATGCTCATCCTAATTAACAATGCACAGATCGACGTGTGGTCGTTGAACTTACTGGGAGATACACTAGAGTAAGTGCACACGCCGCCATTTTACTTAGTCCTCAATCTTTTCAGCTCACAAATTTCAGCCTGGCCTGTCGTTGAGGGAAAAAAGCGGCAAACACAACAGAGGACTAACGAAGATGGCGGATATCACGTACAAGTAAGCGCTGGCTACATTTTTAGCACCACTATCAGCCTTCTACGTATACTTACAGTTCTGTGGTCACGGGCCACTGGCTTCATCGGACAGGTAGTTCCATTATGTGAATGAGTAAATTCTCCAAAAATATATACAATCAATCAAAACATGTTTAATATCAGAAGAAAGCTAACGATAAGTATATTCATTAGCCGCTCACACCAAAGCCGTCTGACCACAATGGAGCGAGTGAGGACTTGCGAGATTTGCCGAAGTGCAATTGAAACTCGCTATTTTGCTCATCTCCAACGATTGTGCTGGATTACCATGTTTTTTCCGACAAAAGTACAGAGAAAGTGCAATCATTCATTTTCCCTTTTTTTTTGTCTTCTATTATTTTCCTCCATCCCCCCCCCCTTCCTTTAACCCCCCCCCCCCCCCCCCAATTTAGAATTTCTTAGCTACATATTTGTCTATTTATTGATTTCTAAGCATACTTTGTTCATGTTTTATTGTAAAACAACGTCTGAGGAACTAACACTTTAACAAGCTCTGCTTCAAGTTAGGTCCTCTTTTCTCGTGCTATTTCCGTTACATATATCGTTTCATTGCATATTTGTTGTGATATAATTATTTTTGTTTTGTGTTTTGCATGATAAATAAAATCATTTGAATCACCATTTGAAAAAAAAAAACGTTCGGATAAATTACGTTGACATCATAAAACATCCTAACCCTAACCCTTAACCCTTACCCTTACAACTTTTCTGAAGAATTATTGTCCTCCTAATGACAATGTTACCTAATGACTCACTTTTTCACTCCAAATGTCCGTCCATTAATGTGACGACATACAGAAAGATATATATTTAAAAAAAAATAGGCCTTCTATGACAAATAAAACGTACAAATGTTATTAAAGAGGACACCAAATTGTCCTCCTAATGACAATATCTACTTATTTTAATGACTCACCTTTTCACTCTAAATATCCGTCTTATGACGCCTTGAGTAATATATATATATATATATATATATATATATATATATGTATTTATATATATTGCCAGGGAATTCATACACTAAACTATGATGTATTATAACTATACCTTTAGTTCGGTTTAGTTTGTTTGATTATCATTTCGCAGCGTCAGCTGAATTACGTGACATTTTGCAATCAATTTAAAAATAACATCACATTTCATTTATAAACAACATATTTCATAACACACTGCAAAGGTAAATACAAAATAGATACTATACATGTAATATCATTAATATTAGTTAATCTGAGAACATAAATACTTACAGTTTTCTTAGCCTATTTCGAGAAAATTTCTTATGATAGCTCGTCTGTAGTTGAAGAAGCATTTGCGTTTGTTTTGAGAACAAATATAATTCATGAATTTCATTAAAAGAAAGAAAAAATAAAACATGGATGGAATACTTTTCAACTTTGATCAAGAACCACTTATTTTTATACTTATTTACATACTTATCTTTGCATATTTCATATCATAATTTTAGGCTACATAATTATATTTACCTTGTTATATAAATTAATTTGGTCAGGAGAACGAAAGAAATATTAGAAAATACCAAACATGTACAAATTGATTTGATTTGATTTGAATTTATTCGTCCACAATGTGGAAATATGCTTTCCACCAGCATTACAATGATACGAGAAACAGAGTACATATGAACATATGAACAATTAAGCAAGCAATTTCAGAACAGAAAAGATCTCGTCATTTCACATAAATAATACAAAATTGTTTAAGCCATCCAAAATTGTTAAACTTGATTAGATGATTAGAAATATCTTTGAAATAGCTTTATAATAACAGTTTATAAATTCAAATAATTATAATCATTATTGCTATTGTTATTATTATTAATATTATTATCATTATTATTATTATGATTATAATTATAATTATTATATAGACTACAAATGTAGTCTCAGGCATTATTCGTTATCATATCTATTCATTATTCATCATTATTATCTATTATTATTCATTTATTATTCTCCCCTCTCACACAACCAATTGATTTTATTTATTAAGGCAATTAGTCAAGAATGCGACGGGGCTGTTCTGGTACCGTTTGGTCCTGGCATGAACATTTTTGTACTTTCTGCTTGTACGGAGATTCATGGTATGAGTTGTATCGTTGACTGGGAACAATTCGGAGTACCTTTGCTACATAACTGCACATATGCGACGGCAAACTTTGTACTAAGGTCATGCCTTCTCTCTTCCAAAGTTTCCATCGTCGTTTTCCTGAGAGCATTTTCATAAGACTCATAATGAGGGCCAAGAACAATCCTCATCGCTCTCTTCCGTATCTTTTCCAGGTTACTGGTCTGCTGCTTGGTGAGTCCAGAGTGCCACACCGGTGCCGCGTATATGGCGCGCCATATGCCCAATAACCACGAAAAACATTGTTTATCGCCGATAAACAAGGTTTATCGACGAAAAACAAGGTTTATCGAGCGAAAAACAAGGTTTATCGAGCGATAAACCTTGTTTATCGTGAGAAACTCTGTATATCGGCTGATAAACACAGTTTCCATCGATAAACAAGGTTTATCGACGATAAACAAGGTTTATCGAAAAACACGGTTATTCGTATTTCGTCAGGAGAGGGCGCTTTTTAAAGTTGCACCCAGGGGGGTTCAACTCCGCTTCTGCATCCGTCTAGCCATGGGGAAATTTTGGAGGGTCAAAAGTGCACACTGCTTCCATTTATCGTGTATTAGCCTATGAAGACGACAAGTTTTTAGTGCACCAGCGAAATGGGGATTTTGGACTGCGCGCAGCGCGCAAAATATTTAAATTAAAATTTTGAATATTCATGAGCTCTTTTCCACTTATTAGCATATTATCGCAATGAAAAAAAGACAATGCGCATGCGTTACTATATCGACAGAATCCTAATTGGGCCGGATAAATGTAGAACAAAGGTCAGAGTTGGGGAGGTGTGTGGGGAGGAGAAGGGGGGGGGGGGACTTTTAAATGGTTGACTTAGTTGGGGCCACAAACTTCACTGTCACCAGGATGGAAAGTACATTTTAAAAAATTCAGTTCAGTTAAAAGGCAAAAATAATGACCCCATTTCACTAATTCATTTTTTACCTCTTTTTTTTTGTTCGTTTATTAACTTAAATATTTTTTAAATCAGACAAATTGCACTGATCATTTAGCCCACTTTACAAGTGATATTTTCATATTTTTAGTGTCCAATTTAATAATGAATCATTCTCACCTCGACTGATCTTCATATTGTACCCCATCCCCAATGAAATTTCAATTTTGTCTCGTTCTTTTCATTCTTGCATTCGTCGCCACTGATTTTTTTTTAATTCCCCCTCCCCCCAACAGTAACATTTTCAATACAGAGACCCCTTCTAATAGTGACATTTCCATAGGCTCTATTACCCCAATTACCTATGCTTTCATCATTTCGGCATCGACTTATTCTTTATTTAACCCCCCCCCCCCCTCATCTTTATTGTAAACCATTTTTTATACTGCATTTATACATTAGTCTTGCCCACTCTCTTGTAGATGGTTAAATCTATCTCGCTGATGCCAGATATAAACAAACATCAAAAGGTCGAACACCATACTCAATTCTACACAAGACTGCATCAGCCCCCATCTTAACTCAGTCATACAGCATTATCATTACAGAGTGCCTACATCATCATAATCATCAGCATCATCACATATATTTCACAAAATAAGAAAATGAAAAGAACAGAATTCAGCAGTATTAACTGATTTATTAACATTTATGAACTCATTTATCAACATATTTTGTTTCTATAAAGTCTTTTTAAATCCAACATGACATCAACAAAATGATGACAAATGGATGGGGGGAGGGGGTGCTGTCTCTTGAATTCAAATCTTTCAGTTGTAAAAATGTACTGTAGATTTTGAAGAAAAAAATATTCCAATAATATCAACATGCTATTTTATTATGTAAAGCACAGGTATATACCGAG